TGTTAAGCACTTTTTAGACTTCACATCACGTCTGGACATCAGAGACACTTTTTGAATGCCTGTGCTGGTCCATGTGGCAAAAGTAATTATGACCACTTAGCCCCCTTTTGACTGCTTATGGGAACCACCTCAGTGGAGAATCTGAAGTCACTGCTTGTGGAGGGAACATGCAGCTATGGGCAAAATAACAGCCAGGAAATGACAGTTAATGCACACACACACACACACATACACATATACTGAGATATGTTGGGCTCTTGGGTTGCATCCCAGTTCTCCATTCACCAATGGGTGACCTTGGAAATTGAATCAGACCAGTTGTGTTTTGGGTTCTTCTTCTGACTGAGAGATGAGAATTTGAAAGGGCTGATCAAATGAGACAATCTTCAAAGTATATAGGACAACACTGTGTATACAGAAGAGGCTTGATAAAAAGCAGCTATTATTATTAGTGTCATTATATATTGAATATAAGGCACGGCGCTCATTACTGTGAAGTTTTACACCAGAAGTAAACAGATTAGGGTGGTGGATTTTGACTGTTGATCCTGAAGACAGGTGTGAGTTCACATGCTCAGTTAAAGTCCCTTTTAGTTTCTAGTGTATGATTCTGTACTTCCAAGTTGGCAGTTAGAAGCCAACCACCATATGCCCTCACCACATTACATCAATTCAGGTCAAATGGTTTCTCGGTTTAGAGTTACCAATGCCAAGATATTAGAGGTTTGGTTTTTTTTTGTTTTTTTTTTTTTTTTAATTATAGGTAGGGAGTAGCCCAACCAGGCAGCCCTGTTTTCTAAACTTAGAACTTACTGTTGTATTTTCACTGGAAGAAGACCTCTAATTCAGCCTGAAGCTGGTACAATGAATCATTCAAAGGTGTGATGTGTGTGATTTGACTAGAGACTGGACCAGTGGCTATGTGCAGGTTAGGAAGCAGTTACACTCTTGTGGTTTGAGTAACCTTTTTTTATGAGTGTGTGACTAAAGAAACGTGAGCTGTTGGCTTTTCAATTACTGTAGCTTACCCCTTCTGAGTTTCATACACATTGAGTCATCATGTCTACAGGTGACTGATAATCATCTGCCGTGCTTGAGTTACCGTAACTCTGAGATGAGGGGATCTGATGATTGCAAGTTGCGTGCACGTGAAGTTCTGAGGTTTGCCCATCCTCTTAACAATGAGTGATGGTCTGTGTTAACCACAGAACTCAGTCACATAATTCCAATCATCCAGGAGTTTATTTTCTTCTGAATTTTTGACTCTTACAGCTTTAGCATTCGGCTGTTTTCTGACATATGCTGCAGATGGCATAGATTGTTGAAATTGTAGGCCTGGCTAAGGAAAGCAAACTCCTAGGAGAAAGCATAAAAACAGAGTTTTCTGATATGCCTACCCCACCCTGGCAACTTTCTGGAGCCTCTGGGTTAGGCAAAAATTGAAAAGATTCTCAAGGACCTCTGCTATTTAGGGAGCTGAGTAGAACTAGCCACAGTAGAAAAATCACCTGCTTTGAAAAAATAAAACAAAATGAAACAAACAAACAAAAAACACACATACACACACACACACACAAAAGCAACCAAAATACATTATATCTGTGTCACTTTTAGGGAAGTGAATGTCTGGGACTTTAGCTTTCTTTCATGGCATCATTCTTCCAGATGGCCTTGGTGAAGGATATATCCAGTCTGGAAGTTGAAAATAAGAGCCACTGATTACTTTGGCAAAAGTCTACATTTCTGTTATTTCTTACTGAGTTGCTAAAACAGAGGATTTTCTTTGCGTATGTTTTCCTCTTGAGAATTTGTCTAGAAACTATCAACTAGGCCCTTAAGGTGGGGAGTAGGGGAGGGCAGATACAGAACAAATCCATCTTATTGGATTAGATCTTTTAGCTGGTCTTCTGGCATCAATTTTTACTGTTTTGCTCCATCTTACACCTTGTTACTACATTGACCTCTAGCCTTTCTTTCTCAGGGGCGTATGATAACTGTTCAAATCCAAGTCCTGTGATTGGTCATTCAGAATGCAGATCATTTGGCTCTACCAGGCGTAATTTTTGTTTTCTGTTTCCCGAAATGTGGAATGCAAACCAGTAGGAGGCAAAAAGGACACTTAAAAACCTTGAACCACATGACAAGAAAATAACTTTCTTTTCAGTTCTCTTTCAGTCTCCATGATGACACCAAGGAGAGAAACTTGGGCTTAATTTGATGCCAGTTGTCTATAGCACCAGTCTCACACTGGGTAAATCTCTGCTTTTAACAGAGAGAGCGGGGCTGGCGCCACAGCTCAATAGGCTAATCCTCCGCCTTGCGGCGCTGGCACACAGGGTTCTAGTCCCGGTTGGGGCGGCGGATTCTGTCCCGGTTGCCCCTCTTCCAGGCCAGCTCTTTGCTGTGGCCAGGGAGTGCAGTGGAGGATGGCCCAAGTGCTTGGGCCCTGCACCCCATGGGAGACCAGGAGAAGCACCTGGCTCCTGCCTTTGGATCAGCACGGTGTGCCAGCCGTGGCGGCCATTGGAGGGTGAACCAATGGCAAAAGGAAGACCTTTCTCTCTGTCTCTCTCTTTCACTATCCACTCTGCCTGTCAAACAAACAAAACAAACAAACAAACAGAGAGCGCGGGACCTTAGTCTCAGGTACTCAAGGTAGTATCTGATCAAAATCTAGTAAACTGCAGTGTTTCATTGTCTTTGTTTTTCTTTCTTTTAAGATCTATTTATTTTATTTAAAAGGCAGAGTTACAGAGAGAGGGAGAGAGACAGGGAGGGAGGAAGGGAGGGAAGGAGGGAGAGAGAGAGAGAGAATATCTTCCATCCTCTGTCTCACTCCCCAGATAGCCACAATGGCCAGGGTTGGGCCAGGCCAAAGTCAGGAGCCAGGAGCTTCATCAGGGTCTCCCACATGGGTGGCAGGGGTTCAAGGACTTGGGCCATCTTCCACTGTTTTCCCAGGCACATTATCAGGGAACTGGATCGGAAGTGGAGTGGCCAGGACTCGAACCTGTTTATGCCACAACACTGGCCCCAATTGTCTTTATTTTTCATAATTATCTTTTTGTGGCAAGTGATTCTGGTTTTCCATTTATGTCAGTGATAAAAAGTTTTCTTAAAAAAGAATTTATTTTAGAAAAAAAAGAAAATGTGAATTGATTCAAAGAAAGAATAAAACCACTAGCATTTACCAAGTGTTTTCTTTGAGCCAGACACTGTTGTAAGCACTTTCCAGTGACCCTATGAGGTAGATACGATTATTATCTCCATCTTACAAGACAAGTGAGCCTAGACAAGTGAATAACTTGCCCAAAGTCATGCAGCTAGTAACCAGTAGGGCCAGCATCAAACCCAGTCTCTGATGTGTGGATGTTACAGACTGTGAAGGAACAGTGAAGTCCGAGAAAAACTTGGCCTCGTATCTCTCGATATGCGTTAGTCAGACTCTCTTCCCCATATGCGTCCTATACAGCCCACCTTCCTGCCCCCATTCATTCTCCCCTCATGACAGCATCTCCTCCTGCATCTCTGAAAACTCAAATCCTCACCAGTTCATCACGACCCTTAGCAAAACTGAGATTTTCTGGAAATGCTTGCTTTCCCTTCGCTGAGTACTCCTGAAGTTTTTGCATTCCCTTAATCCCTCAATATACACGTTATACCAAATAGTCTTGTCTTTGTCTAGACATTGCATTAAAAAATAAAATAAAAAGCAGCAACCACCATAGCCTCCCTTTCAACTCCTGTCTCATCTTCCATGCTTCCTGTCCTTGTCTGGCACTCAGCACTGAGCACATCTCTGAAGACCTCGTCCCTGTCTTCCCATGGCCAGAGAACCTCTGTTTTCTAACACCCACAGGCCCTGACACTGGCTGAACTCTGTTTTCAGAATTTCTCAGCAGTTGACTTGAGAAGTAGGAAAGGGTGACCACAGATAAATTTGTGTAGTTACATGTGAATTAGTCCTAATGGTCATGTGTGCACTAATGATAAATTTTTAATTTTTTTAAAGATTTTATTTGTTACTTGAGAGGCAAAGAGAAAGGTCTTCCATCCATTGGTTCACTCCCCCATTTTGCCACAACAGCCAGAGCTGGACCATTCTGAAGCTGGGAGCCAGGAGCTTCTTTGGGGTCTCTCACAAGGGTGCAGGGGCCCAAGCACTTGTGCTATCTTCCACTGCTTTCCCAGGCCATTAGCAGAGAGCTGGATCGGAAGGGGGCAGCTGGGACACGAACACCTGTATGCGATGCTGTTGCCGCAGGTGGAGGCTTAGCCTACTACGCCACAGTGCTAACCCCGTGATGGTACATTTTTTGAGCAAGGGAAGAGTAACATGCCTGAGGGAAAGGATGGAGTCATGATCACCCCTCAAGAAATGTTCTCTAAAACTTCTACCTTTGAAGCTCTTTTGAAAAATCTCGGTCAGTCAGGTGACTGGTGAATATGGGGAGTAGCAAGCTGGAGTTTTTTGGGCTATTTCCTCTACCCCTGTAGCTATTTAAAGAGCTGCTGGCTGAGGCTAGACGCTGAGCATCCCCACTGTTTGCAGCACTTCCGTCCCCCTGGTCACCTAATATCACAAGTAGATGATAACAAACATGGTAAGCATTTGGGAGTTGACTGTGTCTTCAGCATTCATGAGCAATAGCAGTACAGAGGCCCGGTGCGCCCAACCCCTCCCAGCCTCATCCTAGGGTTCTTTTGCATCTCTAGGGTTTCTCTCTGACAAGCCTTGGGAGTGCCTCATAATGTGGCTTCTACCTCTTGACCTTGCTGCCCCTCCCTTTCACCTTCGGGCTTTACTTTGGCCATCCAAACATGTTGCTGCTGACCAGGGATCCCTGGGACTTCAGCGCCATGGAACCATTCTCTCTGGATGGCTGGTCTTGTGCAGCAGGCAGCTTATGCTTTCTCACTCTTTTGAGCACTCTGGAAAACAATTTGACAAACTCTGCCCTTGTGTTGTTCTCTTATAACCCTGTCTTCACTCATCCCAGGTGAGAAACGCCACTGCTTTGATGTCAACTATAATTCCAGCTACATGTATGAGAAAGAGAGTGAGATTATACAGACGAGGATGATGGACCAAGCCATCAATAACGCCATCAGCTATCTTGGCGCTGAAGCCCTGCGTCCCTTAGTGCAGACACCGCCTGCTCCCACCTCTGAGATGGTTCCAGTTATCAGCAGCATGTATCCCATAGCCCTCACCCGGGCTGAGATCCCCAATGGTGCCCCCCAGGAGCTGGAAAAGAAGAACATCCACCTGCCAGAGAAGAGCCTGCCTTCGGAAAGAGGCCTGTCCCCCAACAATAGTGGCCACGACTCCACGGACACTGACAGTAACCACGAAGAACGCCAGAATCACCTCTATCAGCAAAATCATGTGGTCCTTCCTCGGGCCCGCAATGGGATGCCACTTCTGAAGGAGGCGCCCCGCTCTTACGAACTCCTCAAGCCCCCTCCCATCTGCCCAAGAGACTCCATCAAAGTGATCAACAAGGAAGGGGAGGTGATGGATGTGTTCCGATGTGACCACTGTCGAGTCCTCTTCCTGGATTACGTGATGTTCACCATTCACATGGGTTGCCACGGCTTCCGTGACCCTTTTGAGTGTAACATGTGTGGATATCGAAGCCACGATCGCTACGAGTTCTCATCTCACATAGCTAGAGGAGAACACAGAGCCATGCTGAAGTGAAGGTCTGGCCTCGGAGGCTGCGCCTGAGTAGGCAGCATCGTTGTAAAAAAAAAAAAAACAAAAACTGATTAACCTCACCTAACAGATTGCTTGCAAAGCACACTCCATCCCAAATGCCTTTTCGTAGCATTTTCATATCCAAGGGGCCATGTTCACATGGAGAGCCTGAGAAACACTGTCTTCACTCAGAAATTGTTTGCAGATCTATTATGTTGTTACTTTCATGAAACCTTTATTTTCCCATCACGGGCTTGAATTTTATGGGATTTAGGAGCCAAAAAAGTGTTTGGTCATTTTCTTTTGCAGCAATAGAGCAGGCCATTCACTGGAGTTTGCTGCCAGCTGGAACAGTCCCCCGTTGTGCCATGTGAGGCATTCTTTCTGAGCTATGTCAAGCAGATGTGGAAAAGCCTTTCAGTCACAGCCCAAATCCACAGAGACGAAGAGCTGACCTTGCCAGGAAGCACTGCCCTTCTGTACTTGACACAGGGGGCTGCTGTATGTGGGTGTAATCTCTGCATCCCAAATTGTGGTCCAAGAGCAAGGAAAGGACAGCAACAGAGTCAGGATCTGTCACCAGCAACTGAGGACCCCACGCAGGCGAAAAAGCATATCATCTTTGATGCCATGTTCGCCGCTCCCCACCCTGCTCTCCAGTGAAAAGTTGGGCTGCTTTGGATTTAACCACTGTCTCTAGGAGAAATTCTCTTACCAGAAGAGTTGATGGTTTTAAATTGAGACCATCAATGAAACTCCAGAAAGTTACCCACTGAGGATGATGGTATCTCTTTCCTTTGACCAGCAGAGAAATGACGGGGGAAGCAGCTTAGCAGTGCTAATAGGAAAAAAAAAAAAAAAAAAAATAGCAACTACCTGAAAGTTCTGGTGGCCTTCATGCAGTGTTGGTAGATAGACCCAGAGCGGACTTGTCCATGGTTTTTTTTTTTTCCATAGGAAAATAATAAAGAATAACAAAAGTATGGCTTAGCCTCCTCCCCACAGGACAGACTCCACACAGGATAGACACGTTGATGAGCTCAGAGCTGAGCTTGGGCATGAGGAGACACCTCTGTGACTGGTTCTCCTTGATCAAGCGAGTTTTGGCTCTTTCCCCCGCCCACCCGCATTTTAAATGGAGCTGCTGAATTCCATGAAAATCTCTGAAAGTCTGAGCTTGGTTGTACAGCTGTTATCAGTCACCTGTGTCACCAAGAACGGGACACACTCTCAGGGAGAAGTGCTGTGGTAACTGCAGAATTAGCGCCGGGATAGGAGTCACACAAAATGTGCTTGCTAATTCCATATTTGCCACTAATTAGCTGTGTGACTTTGAGCAAATCACTTAACTCTTAAAACTAAGTCTCCCCAACCATAAAATAAGAGTTGGATTGAGACTTTCCCTAAGGTCTTTTCCAACTTTAAATGTATATGTAATTATGCAGTAACCACAAGTTATTTTTTAAACCTCTTCATGTATGAGTATTAAGCAGAGGAGTATATATATGAATATATGTTTCACATCTCTTTGATGTGCAAATGTTAGTGTGTTAAGTTTTTCCTTTAACCACTGAGTTGTGAATGTGAAGAAGATGGTAGGGAGGAACAAAAAACAGGAAGGTATTTTGATCTTACCCCAAAGTGTACACACAAATTGGCACCTGCAGCTGCTTGCCAAAGCAACCCCCCCAGCTTTTTTTTTTTTTTTTTTTTTTACCTTTTTAACAACTTGTGTTAGGGAAAATAAATTCTGCTTCCAGGGAAAACTTCATGGAGCCTATTTACAAATCAAGAACATGCTTTATGAATATTTCTACCAGAGCTGAGAATTCCAAATTCCTGGTAGATGAGTGTTTTATTTCTAAAGGGCTTATGCATTCGGCTCAAAGTCAACTCATTTATGTGCTGCCAGGAATGAAAACGTCCCACCTCAGACTGCACACATGGCTTATGCTTTTTTGTGGCATGGAGTCTGTCTCAGGGAAAAAGGTTTTATGAAGTTCCATGGCAACAGTCCCAACATGTTTGAAATTTCAGCTAAAGGACTAGATGTATTTTGGTGTGCAGCCTTCAGTGGATCACTGTATTTCCACAATACCAGACTCCAAGCCTTGCCAGACTGCTTACACCCGTTGTGAAAGAGGAGCTGCTTGTTATATTCTTGAAATATCACACATCTTGTTGACTCTTCGAGGGACAAGAGAAAGAGAACTTGGAGGCAGGGATCAGTAAGAAAGAAAGCCAGGGACAGGGGGTGCTAACGTCTTTGTATCTCAAGACAGTGAACGCCCTGAGAACTGTTCCTGCAGATCCCACGCTCCTTTTTCCTGTGACCGGTGGATTTGCTGAATGATTTCCAATTCTCTGAGGTCGGTGTTCTGAGTAGGGTGTCCACTCATACAGGCTACTCTTTCACCGTCACATTGTGTGCCTAGCGTGGGGCCCACCCATTGGAGAGGAAGTATAGATGCAGCGATGCCACATTCTTCACTTTGGAAGTTGAAGCGGGTGCCTGCAGTGGTTACTGTCACCCAGGAAAACTTCTCCTCCGGTAGGCGCTCCTGCTGCCGGGTCGCTGCGGGGTGAAGGAGACCCTGGAGCAGGACGCCCAGAGGGAGGGGCGGGGCCGGGCTGTTCACGGCTGCTGCTGGGCAGAAGGCTTGTGGCAGCGTCCAGCAGCACCTTTGCTTCCGCATGCAAAGCCCCTGTGAACTTGAGCTCTCTAGGTCTTCTCCTTTGTTTCGACCAATGGTCTTAGAGGCAGGCCCCCACCACACACCCATGAGGCCACAGTCTGAGCAGCAGCCACGGCGACAGAATGAGGTGAGGAAGGAAAAGGAACAGAACCAGTGCACCAGACAGCCCGTCATGATCTGAAGTGCTGAGTAGATGATTTCCCACTGACAGAACCAAGCAGAGGCGTCTCTCCCATTACCCTCCATCACCACGGGGCGGGGGCCCGGCGAGACAAAAGCATAGCAGTAAATGCCCAGTCCTTAGATTCCTTTTTCTCCCAAAAAGACATGTGCCTTGGCACAAATAAGCCAGCTAATCATATGCTTTGTTACCCATTCTGAGCTGTGCCTGACTCAGCTTCTGACATTGGCAGTGACAAAATTCCTCACCTTTTAAATGCAGTGCTGTAACATTTTGTTAGGCCTCAACTCACAGTGGCCCAGATAGAAAATGACCTCAGATTTCTTTTGCATAGAGAACTGCTTAAAGACACAATCTTACTCAGAAGACTGCATTTTTAACAAATCTCATGTCAACATGAAGTTTTTCCAAGTAGCATCAGTGTCACTATTCTTACCCTCCTTTGCCTTTTTCTTCCCTCTGCTGAAGTTTAGGTTTAGAATGTTTTAAGGGAAAAAAGCAGTACTTTTGAGATATATCACAGGACAGATGGTAAAACCAGATGAAAATGTTTCTTTAAAGTCCTGACTTGAAAATATATCCCACTGAGAGCTGGTGTGTTGGTCTCCAGTGGAGATTTGTGGAAAGGCTTGGCTATCTTAGAGGACTCAGAATTAAGGTGGTCTGAGCTCAAGAAGAGGAAAAGAAGGGAGTGGTGAAAGTTTTATCCTTAAAAAACAAAATTGTGGTATCAAGAGCTGAAGAAGATAAGTGAGTATGGTAATACTGCCTTTTAAGAACTGGAAGCTATTTTTGTATTTTCCCAGAAAGATTAATTCAGAAAATCTTTAGACAGAGGTCACACAAGCAGAATGCTTTGGGACTTAAGTGCCTATAAAGAAAACAATTTTGACTCTAAACCAAAGGCTAGTCTTGGGCCACCCTGGAAAAAGAACTCTGTTCTCACTGATGGCGGGACTGAATGGCTCTGAGAGCAACCAAGAACCCAGGCCTGGGGGCTTCTGACTCTGAGAACTGTGACTTGAAGCCTAGATGAGGTCTGGGCTTGAAACTTGTGTGTCCTCCTAAAGTAGGGTAGATTGTATCCCTCATTTACCCACACAGTACGTAGTCTGCACCCTGCCACACCATCAGTATGTTGAACAGGGGTGTGCACTTCAAGAAGCTGGACACAAGTTTCCGCTGAATATTACCATAGTGGACTGACTTACACATTGACGCCAATTGAATCGGTACTAGAAATTGGAATGTTAATGTTTATATTAAAAGTGTAATGACCTAACAATATCTGCCTTTCAAGGATGTTGTGAAGTTTTATGTAATTTTGTTTATGGAAGAATGTCCCCTTTTTTTGTTGTTTATTTGTTTTTTTTTGCAGGGGCTAGTAGGGGTTATATTGGATGGTTCCAAATTTTCTGCTCTGCATACTGTGTCAGGGATTAAAGACACAAAAAATATTCCAAGACCAAGGACCAAAATAGCAGTTCCTAAACAGAGGCAGCTGGTCTCGAATTCCGTTTCCTTCACTTCATTTCAATACAAAAGGGCAGAGACTGTGTTGAACCTCGGAACCCATGTGAGTCAGCCATGTGCTACAGGCTCTTCATGCACCCCGGCAAGCAGAATAGCTTTGCCGCCCTGCCATCCAGGAGCCCTCAGCCATTTGCTCCCCCAGGAACTTCGCACTTCTGCAAATGGTTCTTGCTGCCCCACCTCTCCACTGATGCTGTTCAGAAAGCCTGCAGAGCGGCCCACGATGCTGCCTGCCTTCTCCCAGCCCTTTGCCCATGCTGTGGAGCCTATTTCACGTTCCGGATAAATGAAGCTTGCTTCTCCATCTCCTGAAAAGACTGAGAAAACACACCGTAAAATGAGATAGCCCTAAAAACGACGGATCCCGTTGCCAGTGACTCATTTATACAAGAGCTTTTCCAGGCTAGCAGACAAGGCCCTTTTTGGTGGGCCTGTGTCTGTGGGTTCACAGAAACCAAATTACTGTGGGTTGCAAAGAATTAGCAGGTCATTTAAAAAGCAGACATCCCTTCACCCAGACTGTGGTTTTGCATGCTCAGGTTCTCAGTCTGTGAACTTTTTGGTGAAGGATCATTTTGGCTGCTGGAAAAACCATAGCTTATTTTTAATTTCTGGTTGCCAAAGTCACCACACGTGTGGTCTTTGAATGACCCTTGTCTGCAGAATGACAGGGGAGGAACAGGAGGTAGCCTGGGACTCAGAGTGGCTTCTCCGCCAGGAGGGGAGGGTGCCCTTGACCCTCAGGCAGTTGGACCCAGCCTGGGCTCAGGGCCTCTTTGCATTTCTCAGACAGTAGTGACTCTCCCTCTTCACTCCTCTGGAGTCCAACCATTCAGAGCACCGAAAAGCACCCCACGCCTCACCTCTGTAAAGAATGTCCAAAAAAGGCAGCTTCTGAACTGTAGCCGTGCTGACCGCTAACCTCGCCAGATCCACTGAGTGCATCTTTGCATCGGAAACACCCCTGCATTTTCGAGATTCCTTGATCGTGTTTGGTTTTTACACTGGAAAATAAATCCTTTTGTGTGATAGTCCTTGTGTGCCTGTCATTTGTAGTCAGAGAATGGGAGGGTTTTTAATTCTGCCCCCAGGAATATTTCCTTAATTTAGCCCTTCTGGCTGTTCTTAAAGCCCAGGTTCCAAGATAAGTGGAATGATCCCCACAGTGAAGTAGCTCGCTGGACATCTTCCTGAGCCTGCTGCTGGTGTTCTGCTGCGGCCTCTGGGCACCCGCAGTAAGGCTCTGATTTGCTAAGGGGACCAAGGAGGCTGAAGACCTGGACTCAGCAGGATCAACACACAGCACACAACGTCCCCTTACCCTTAGTCACTGCTCTGCCCTCCCACCCCCCAACAGAAATTCACCCTGACATTTTCATCTGAGATCTCAACATCCACTTTGGGAAACTCAGGGTGCAGTCAGTCACTGAACTTAGCCACATCTAAATATAGTCTTTAGCTACTTGGAGGCCTAAACCTATGATGTTGGCAGGAAACAGCATTGGATGGGGCAGCTCTCTCCCAGTGCTGTTACCCTACGTTCTCGCTCAGTGTTTGAGAAGGCTCTGAGGGATGGTCTGGTCTTCTGCTCGGCCTCGTCTAGAGCACGCTCCATTGTCTCTCTTCGGTGCAAGAGGAAGTGTTTCTGAAGCTTGGGATGAGCCAAGCGCTGGGTTGGCGGCAGCTTCCCCTGGCTTGTGTGCGCAGCACGGCCCCACTCCCGACTGCACCACCAGGCTGCTTCCAGGAACTCCAGCAGGCTTTGCAGCCCCTCTACCCTAAGGACGGGAAAGAGGAAGGGCAGAGCAGCCTGCCTTTATCGCTGAACATCAAATACATTCCCACACAGCCTCCAGGCGCTGGCTTTCAGCCTTGGAGAAAGTGGTGCACTGCCTTCCCCCTTCCACTCCCTCCTCAAAGCAGCAGCAGCCCAGAAAGAAACGGGAGGCGGGGAGACCCTGATGGCGGTGAGCTGAGCCCTGGAGACTCCCATCAGGCCTGATGGGCTTCCTTCCTGCCAGAGGGTGGCTCCCTTTCCCGGTTCTTGGGAACAGTCTGATGCTTTAGAGGGTGGTAGGCCTGATAGGGGAGGCCACGGCTGCACCTCCACTCCTCCCCGACCCCATCACCCAGCAGGCAGGGTGGGGAACGACCTGGCTCCCTTCCCTCACTTCCATCCCTAGATGAAGAGTGGAGGTGAGCACCCAGGGAAGGCCAGGCGCGCTGGCCTGAAGGGCTGTGGAGGGGCAAGTGGAGAGGCACACTGGCTGTGGCACATTCCCGGTCAGACGGTTGTTTGCATAAAAGCCAAAAGCCACTGCACCTGGGGTGGGGAGGCCCTCTGGGGAGGTACTCCCTGGCCATGGGGGAGAGGGGGAAGGAAGGTGTCATGGAAAGTCCCCGAAGGACACGGGGTGTTGAGTTTGCCGCGGTTTTGTTTTTAACTCTGTCTTGACCTGTGAAGTAGGCAGCTGCCTCCCTCCCCCCCAAATAACAGACCTGCCCCCAGAATAGCATGCACACAGCCAAGGAAAGACCATGCAGGGGAAAGAATGGAGGTTACAGGGCTTGTGGGTGAGAGGCCTGCCACCCCACCCCACCCCACCCCACCCCACCTCACCCCACCCCTGCCTTCCCCAGGAGTGAGCAGGCAGGAAGCCCCAGAACAGCCTCTTCCCATCACCTCACCTACCCGGCAGCCCCCAGGGCCCCCTGGCCCAGAAGATCTGCCTCGTCAAATAAACCACAGTCCTGGGGGCGGCTGGTGGATGGGAATGGGGCAGAGGCCACCTCCTCCCCCAGGCTCGTCCTGCCACCAGCCCAGTTGACATCCCACTCCCCCCCCCCTCCAGTGACATTCTCAGTACCACCCTCCCTCTCACCCCTGGGGAGCTGTGTGTGTGTGTGTGTGTGTGTGTGTGCGCGGGGGGGACAGCAGGAGGGTCCTGTGACCCCAAGCTCTGAAGTCTCAGCGTGGCCAGCTTGGGTCAGACTCCCGCCAGAATGGGAGCCCTGGGTTCCAGTCCCAGCCTTGCCGCTCTGCAGTCAGGGAGCCCACAGCTCCTAACGGCTGGGCCTCTAAGCCTGGCCTCAGCCCGCTGCTGGGCGGCCTCCAGATGGGCCCCCAAACTCCAGAAACAAGACCAGGGATGGAGCAGATCCAACCCCTTCCCTCTCGCTTCTCCTGGCCACCGGGCTGCAGAGAGCGAGTGACCGCCGGCGGTTCCCCAGAGGTCACTTTCTTCACTGTTATATGAAATCCAATCCCGGCGCCGGCGAGGGGCGAAGGAGAGGCGACAGCTCCTACCCCCTCATCTGTGGAACCGGGGTGGGGGACACTCTGAATAGCGGCCCCGCGGCTGGATCCGAACCCCCGCCTCTCCTCGCGCCCCCCGGTTAGTCCTGCGCGGATCCAGACCCCGCCCGGATTCCCAGCCTGGGACGCCGAGAGGAAAGCGCGCGGCCGCCCCGGGGGAAGGGTGCGGGCGGCGAGGTGGGAGCGGAGCGGGTGTGAGGGGAGGGGCGGCTGCACTTCTGAGAAACAGCTCGGCTCTGCGCAGCCCGCAGCCTAACCCCCGCCTGCGGCTTCACAGCTCGCTCCTCCTGCCGCCCACGCCGCTCGGGGCCTCTCCGGGGGTCGGCAGCCCCCGCGGGGGCGCTGGCGGCGGCGGCGGCGGTAGCTCCGGGGACAGCGGAGTGGAACCACGGCGGGTGGGGGTGGAAAACGGAGGAAGGCGTGGGTCGCGTGACACCCGCGAGTTAAAAGCTATCCCTCAGTCGGGGTCCCGAGCCCGCGTGTCCCCTGCAGCCTCCCCCCCCCCCCAAGGGGCCCTCCCATCACAGCCCGAGCGGCATCCAGAAGTGAAACTGCCAGGGTCACAGCCCAGCGCCGCCGCTGCGCCCCGCCCCGCCCTTCCGGGCACTGCAGCCGGGCAGGATCTCCCGGCGCTCGGGCGACGGCCGGGGAGGAAACGGGGGAGGGAAGGAAGTGCCCCACGGGCAGCCTGCTTGCACGCGCCCGCTCTCCCGGGGTGCCCTCCCGGAACCACGAGTGGGAACCGCGTGAGGCTCCCGCACTTCCCACGACGGCCGCTGGGTGTCGCTGCAGCCGCGCGGCTGAGCCGGCCCGGTGCCGTCCACGTCCGGGGCTCGGTGACACAGGGAGCTGGAGCCCCCTGGCTACGACCACACGCGGGCCCCGCCTGGCCGTCGCGCCTGGATGCCACGCGAGGCTTGAAGGCCTTGCCCACAGATCGCAACACCGACCCCTACTGAAGACCAGGCTGACCCCCGTGGTGATGGGCTCGCCGCCGGAGACCCTGCTGAGCCGAGGCGCGCCCCCTGGCGAGGCAGACAGGTGGCCCTGTGGAGTCTTGCGCCGCCGGTGGCACCTCCATGCTGCCTGGGCTGAGGAGGGGCATGCGCACGTGTCCAGAACGGCCGGCCTTGGGGATGGGTTCCCGGGGCTTCCTCATCACTCCTACTCCAGCTTTGCCCAAAAGCCAAGCTCCAAGACCTTGGGGCAAGGTGGCTTGCTGGGAAGGGGGAGCTCAAGGTGGGGAGCCCGTATGGGGACTGATGGAGGGCCCAGGCTGGGAGAGAGAGGAGGTCGCTGGACTCCTTTGGAAGATTGTTGTGGCTCCCAGCGGGAACGCCTGCTTCCACGTGTCCTGGAGGATCTGACTCAGGGCACAGGAATTGGCAGGTAAATGCCAGTGAACTTGCCCTTGGGCCGCAGGTATGGGGGGTGCAGGAGCCGGTTACGCTTCCCCTTAGGTCCCAAGGTTACAGGGTCCCTGCCCCCATACAAGATCTTATTGGCATTCAGTGGTGCCCTAAAGGGGTGGCTTTATCCCCTCATCTCCCACAGCCTTCTCCAAAGCACCCCAAGAGAGACTGATCCAAGTTTAAGAGCAAACCGGGCCACAAAAACGCAGCTTCAGGGGCCAGCGTGAGTCTCAGCAGTTTGGCTGATGCGTGGGACGCCCATGCCCACATCTAAGTGCCTGGGTTTGAGGACCTGGCCCACTCCACATTCCAGCTTCCTGCTAAGGCACCCCTGGGAGGCAGCAGGTGGCCTGCGCTCTGGGCTCCTGGCTTCAGCCTGGCCCAGTCCTGGCTGTTGGAGGCATTTGGGGAATGAACCAGTGGCTGGGAGACGGTTATTTCTCTGCCTTTCAGCCAAACTGCTTCGCCCAGGGCCCTGGAGAAAAAACACCGCCATAGTGCCCCTCTTTGTGGTGGATGGCAGCTCTGCAAGGGGGCACGAGAGGCCATCGTAGCTCGGCCCAGACTCCACTAGGCTCAGGAGGAGCATAGCCCTACTCAGCCCGGACGGTGCCCGCACTTCCCAGCGCCGCTGCCTGCCCGGGGAGCTTCTGGGGCACCTGCTTCCCTGCTGGCAGCACTCAGCTCGCCTAAGATCCAGCCCCCCTTTCCCTCCTCGCCAGCTCCCTGCCTCAGCTGGAAGCCCCCAGTCCTTGTCCCAGGTTGCCACTGCACACCCCTCCCCAACCCCAAAGCTGAGGTTCCGCCAACAGCACCGGACAGGAAAGCGGTTTGTGCAGACGCCTGCCTCTCGGCTCTGGGCCGCCTTTTCCGTCTGCTCTCTGGATACACCAAAAGGCTGTGCCCCCCACCCCCCCGAAGCAGTTCTTCCCACAACCTGCACCAGGGGCTGACACAGGGCTCCGGGAGGACTTAGAAGACTGCTTGGGGGACTAGTGCTGTGATATAGCAGGTAAAGATGCTGTCTGCAGTGCCGGCATCACATGTGGGTGCTGGTTCAAGTCCCGGCTGCACCACTTCTGACCCAGCTCTCTGCTGTGGCCTGAGAAAGCAGTAGAAGATGGCCCAAGTCCTTGGGCCCCTGCACCCACGTGGGAGACCTGGAAGAAGCTCCTGGCTCCTGGCTTTGGATCGGCGCAGCTCCAGCCATCGTGGCCATCTGGGGAGTGAAGCAGTGGATGGAAGACACACACACACACACACACACACACACACACACACACACCCGCCGCTGCCTCTGCCT